ATTTTTTGTAGTTTTAGTAGAGACGGGGTTTCACCATGTTGACCAGGATGGTCTCGATCTCTTGACCTCATGATCCACCCGCCTTGGCCTCCCAACGTGCTGGGATTACAGGCTTGAGCCACCGTGCCCGGCCAATAAAATTATATTTTAAAAGACCTTTTCTGATTGCCACGGTATAGATGATTAGGCTTTAAAGAACGAACAGGGCCACATGTGGTGGCTCACACTTGTAATCCTAGCACTTTGGGAGGCCAAGGCAGGAGGATCTCTTGAGGCCAGGAGTTCAAGACCAGACTGGACAACAGTGGAACCCTCGTCTCTACAAAAATGTTTGGGGCTTTTTGAAACAGAGTCTTGTTCTGTTGCCCAGGCTGGAGTGCAGTGGCGCTATCTCAGCTCATTGCAATCTCCACCTCCTGGGTTTAAGCAATTCTCTGCCTCAGCCTCCTGAGTAGCTGGGATTACAGGCATGTGTCAGGATGCCTAGCTAATTTGTGTAGTTTTTAGTAGATACAGGGTTTCACCATCTGGCCAGGCGGATCTTGAACTCCTGACCTCGTGATCTACCTGCCTCGGCCTCCCAAAGTGCTGAGATTACAGGTGTGAGCCACCAGACCTGGCCCCAATTTTTTTTAGAAAATTAGCAGGGTGTGGTGGCATGTGCCTACAGCCTCAGCTACTTGGGAAACTAACACAACACAGGAGGATCAGAACTATTAGGGTGCTATGATATATATTGGTGTTCTTCCACGGTTCCTGGCTCATATTCCCTGTATTAGGAGAGTTTAAGTATTAACTCGCACAATCACAAGGTCTCACAATAGGCCGTCTGCAGGCTGAGAAGCAAGGAGAGCCAGTCCAAGTTTCAAAACTGAAGAACTTGAAGTCCAATGTTTGAGGGCAGGAAGAATCTAGCACGGGAGAAGGATGTAGGCTGGGAGGCTAGGCCAGTCTCTCTTTCCACATTTTTCTGCCTGTTTATATTCTAGTTTATATTCTGGCAGCTGATTGGATTGTGCCCACCCAGATTAAGGGTGGGTCTGCCTTTCCCAACCCACTGACTCAAATGTTAATCTCCTCGGCAACACCCTCACAGACACACCCAGAAGCAATACTTTGTATCCTTCAATCCAATCAAGTTGACACTCAGTATTAACCATGACCACCGCCATAGCCCTTGTTGTCCTGTGCCCTGGGGGAAGGGATGCTCGCATCTTGAAGCTTCCATAAAAACCCAAGAGGACTTGGTTCAGTGAGCTTCTGGATAGCTGAACACATGGGGGTTCGTGGAGGGTGGCACCCAGGTGGGGGGTCATGGAAGCTTCATGCCCCTTCCCCCATTCTTTGCCCTAAGCATGTTTTCATCTATATCCTTTGCAATATCCTTTATAATAAACTGGTAAATGTAAGTGTTTCCCTGAGTTTTCTGAGTGACTACAGTAAATTAATCAAACCCAAAAGGGAAGCATGGGAGCCCCAACTTGAAGCCAGTTGGTCAGAAGTTCCAGAGGCCCGGACATGTGACTGGTGTGTGTTGAGGGGGGCAGTCTTGGGAACTGAGCCCTAACCTATGGGATCTGACATCATTTCCAGGTAGATAGTGTTGGAAATGAACTAGAGAACACTGAACTAGTGTCCACTGTTTGGTATGGGGGGAAAACCCTCACACATTTGGTCATGGAAGTCTTCTGTGTTGATGGCTGATGTGGCATGACAGTAGAGGAAAAAGAGAGTTTTTACACAACTGTATTGGTAATTTTTTCCAACCCTGGGCATCTAGACTTCTAATAAACTATGCTTTTGCTAAGAACACGGGAGGAAGCCAATCCTTGAACCAGATCTCTGGTGACCTGAGATGGAATCTGACATGGTCCTGACACTACGCCTGACACCCAGGGACTCACTCTTTTATAGGAATACAAGATTGATTATACTTTTCTTCTTCCCTCTGCAGTGAGAGTAACAATATCAAAAGTTTTCTTTTTCTTTTTTTTTTTTTTAAGACAAAGTCTTACTCTGTCACCCAGGCTGGAGTGCAGTGATACTATCTCAGCTCACTGCAACCTTCGCCTCCTGGGTTCAAGTGGTTCTCCTGCCTCAGCCTCCCTAGCAGCTGGGATTACAGGCACCCAACATATGCCCGGCTAATTTTTTTGTATTTTTAGTAGATATGGGGTTCGCCATGTTGGCCAGGCTGGTCTTGAACTCCCAACCTCAGGTGGTCTGCCTGCCTCTGTCTCAAAAGTGCTGGGATTAATGAGATGAGGTCTCATCATTCTTTTTTTTTTTTTTTTTTTGAGACGGAGTTTCGCTCTTGTTACCCAGGCTGGAGTGCAATGGCGCGATCTCGGCTCACCGCAACCTCCGCCTCCTGGGTTCAGGCAATTCTCCTGCCTCAGCCTCCTGAGTAGCTGGGATTACAGGCACGTGCCACCATGCCCAGCTGATTTTTTGTATTTTTTGTAGAGACGGGGTTTCACCATGTTGACCAGGATGGTCTCGATCTCTTGACCTCGTGATCCACCCGCCTCGGCCTCCCAAAGTGCTGGGATTACAGGCTTGAGCCACCGTGCCCGGCCGAGGTCTTATCATTCTTGAATAGCTTACCCAAAGATGAAAGAATGAGCATATTTAAGGCTCTAGCGGGACTCAGTAGACCAAGGGAAGAGAGAAGGAAGGAGGAAAGTAAGAGAGGATGTTAGAACCTGTAAAACTCACTCTCTGAATGCAGAGACCCCCAAACAGGCTTTGTGTGAGCAACACAGGTACGGGCGGCTGAGTCCGAAAAGAGAGTTGGTAAAAGGCAGTGGGATAGGGGTTGGTTTTATAGGTTTGGGGTGGGCAGTGGACAGTTACAGGAGTTACAGTTTAGGGCAGTTTTTTGCAAGCTGGGAGGGGGTCATAAGGTGTGGAGTCACGAGGTTGACCAAGGTCTAATGGCCTTATCAATTGGGGTGGGAATAAGGAGCAACAGAGAATGCCTCAAAGTTAAGTGGTGCTGCAAGGGTTGATCATTTCTTCCTCTTTACATGGTCTCCCAGTTACTTCAGATTTTCTAGGAACTCATCTGGAGTGTCCGTGCAAGTCACAGAGGTTACTTAACATGGCATCCGTGGGGCCGTCAGTCAGCCTAAAAGACCTTACAGAATTGTTGCAGCCACTGGCTGTGTGGAAACAGCTAACTGCGGGAGGTGAGAATAGGGAAGAGCTGAAGAAGGAAGATTTCCTTTCCTCGGCATGAGGACCACTCACCAAGAGGGGATAATCACAAGGAATAATAATGTCCAAGGCAGTTACAAGGACTCTTGGAAGTTTGTATCTTTTCATCCATGTCTGTAGTCATTGTTAGGTTTACCACATACTTTTATTAAAAGTTGCTCAGTAAAGTATCCAGTGTAGCTTATTTTCTTTCCATAAAATAATTCAATAAAATTTTAGGAGTATCAAGCAAAGCTCAAGCTTTCATAGGCAGTTATTCTTGGTTCAATCTGTTCCTAGAACAGATTTTTCCCCCCTCCAAGACAGGGTCTGATTCTGGCCGAGGCTGGGGAGCAATGGTGAGATCTTGGTTCACTGCAACCTCTGCCTCACACCTGTAATCCCAGCACTTTGGGAGGCCAGGGCAGGCTGATCACTTGAGCTCAGGAGTTAGAGAACAGATTTCTGACATAAAACTATCCTTCATTTGATAGCTATTTCCCTGAGACCTCTGTGGTCCACTCCACCTTTTGACTCTATTTATCAATGCATTTCAAAAAATCACTAAGCAGTTATGGTCATTTCCTGATAAAAAGTATTGAACTTTTCAGGTATAGTCCCTTTATGTATGTTTGCTACGAATCGTCAGAGAAATCTAAAGCAATATACAGACAGTTCCTGACTTGCGATGGTTTGACTCAAGATTTTTCAACTTTACAGTGATTTGAAGGCAATTTTGAAAAATCTCAAGTTGTACCATTGCAAGTCTGGAACTGTCTGTATGTTGCTTTAGAACCAAGTTGAAAACGTATAGTAGAAACTGCACTTTGAGTACCCATACAGCCATTCTGTTTCTTACTTGCAGTATAGTATTCAATATATCACATGAAACGTTAACACATTCTCATAAAACAGGCTATTTGTGAGAGGATTTAGCCCAACAGTGGGTGAGGCTAAGCTATGATGTTCTGTGGGCTAGGTATATTAAATGCACTTTTGATTTATGATATGCTCAACCTTTCATGGGTTTATGGGGACTGCAACCTTATCATAAGTTGAGGAGCCCATCTCTGCTTGTGTGAAACTTGTGCAATGAAACTGCCCTGGGACTGAGCATTAGGAAACATCAATTTGCATCCCTTCTCTACCACCTTGAACTAAATCACTTCAGGTTTTTGAGCCATCTACCTCTAACATCTGCTTAACAGGGATGCTGTGAAGATTAAATAAAATGACATGTGGGAATGTGTTTGTGTTCCCAATACATGGTTGTTAGATTAATCTGTGAATCATTGAATTGATCATTAAATCAGCATCACTTCTTTTTTTTTTAGAGAGTTCCCAATACTTTAAAAACTTCTTAGGCTGGGGTCAGTGGCTCATGTCTGTAATCTCAGCACTTTGGGAGGCCAAGGCAAAAGGCTTGCTTGAGCCCAGGAGTTCAAGACCAGCCTGGGCAACATAGGGAGCCCTCATGTCTGCAAATAATAATAATAATAATAATAATAATACTTAAGGCCGGGCGCAGTGGCTCAAGCCTGTAATCCCAGCATTTTGGGAGGCTGAGGCGGGTAGATTACGAGGTCAAGAGATCGAGACCATCCTGGTCAACAAGGTGAAACCTCGTCTCTACTAAAAATACAAAAATTAGCTGGGCATGATGGTGCGTGCCTGCAGTCCCAGCTGCTCGGGAGGCTGAGGCAGCAGAATTGCTTGAACCCAGGAGGCGGAGGTTGCGGTGAGCTGAGATCATGCCATTGCACTCTAGTCTGGGCAACAACAGCGAAACTCCGTCTCAAAAAAAAAAGAAAAGAAAAGAAAAAAAAAATAATGATAATACTTAAACACGCTGGGCATGGTGGTGCATGCCTTTAACCCCAGCTACTTGGGAGGCTGAGGCAGCAGGATAGCTTGGTCTCGGCAGGGAGGAGACTGCAGTAAGCTGTGATCATACCACTGCACTCCAGTCTGAGCAATAGAAAAGGATTCTGTCTCAAAAAAAATTTATATATATATATATATATATATATATATAATAATATAAATACATTATTTAAACAAATAGTTACTTAGAACAGACCATGAACCAAGCCTGTGCTCCATGGTGCAGTGAAAAACAGTAAACAAGTTGGTTATGGTCCTTGCTCTCATAGAACTTATGGTCTAGAAAGGAATAGACTGGCCAGGCGCAGTGGCTCATGCCTGGAATCCCAGCACTTTGGGAGGCCGAGGCAGGTGGATCACGAGGTCAGCAGTTCAAGACCAGCCTGGCCAACATGGTGAAACTCCATCTCTTAAAAAAAAGAAAAAGAAAAAACAAACAAAAAAAGGAATACAGACTAATATGCAGGTAGTTGCGATGAGGGTTGCCAAGGGATATGATGTAACAACATGTTTTTATTCTCATATGGTGTTCACCCCAAGTTTGCATCTATGTAGCTTTAACAGTCTGTAAAGCCAGGACATAAAAGAGTTGGGCCGTCTCAGGGCACAATTTTGCCGCATGACAGATCCATTATTGGGCTTGAAGGCAGGTGCCCTATGTGACTCAACACAGGAATGGTAGAATGGCCATACCTTGCCCACCTCAACAGCCACTGCAAGATTTTTTCCTTAGGAGATTTTATTGCGCAAGCTTTTGTGCCATCAAGACCCCAGGCTAAAGGCAGTCCTTGTTTTATCTTTTTTTTAAGAAAAATTTAATTTTGGCCAGGTGCGGTGGCTCACGCCGGTAATCTCAGTATTTTGGGATGCTGAGGCAGGTGCGTCCCTTGGTACAGGAGTCCGAGACCAGCCTGGGCTCTGTGGCAAAACTCTATCTCTACAAAAAATACAAAAAATTAGCTGGGTGTGGTGGCACACACCTGTGGTCCCAGCTACTTGGGAGGCTGAGGTGCGAGGATTACTTGATCCTGTGAGTTTGAGGCTACAGGAAGCCATGTTCGTGCCACTGCACTCCAGCCTGGGTGACAGAGTGAAACTCTGTCTCAAAAAAAAAAAATAGTTTTAGTGAGATATAAAATTAACTCATTTTAAGTGTACAATCTAATGATTTTTAGTAAATTTACAGAGTTATACACCCATTATTGCAATCTAGTTTTTAGAACATTTTCCGTCACCCATAAAAGAAACCTTAGGTGCTTTTGCAGGCATTCTCTGTTCTTACTCTCAGCCCCCGGCAGTCACTAATCTATTTTCTGCCTCTGCAGATTTGCCTATTTTGGACATTTCACATAAATGGAATCAAACAATGTGCAGTCTTTTGTGTCTGGCTTCTTAGCATCATGTTTTTGAGGGGCACCCATGTTGCAGCATGGATCAGTATCTTTCTATTACTAAATAGTATTCCACGATATGAATAGTCCACATATGTTATCTATTCATTGGCTGATAGACATTTGAATTGCTCCCACTTTTTGATGATTATTCTTGATTTCACTTAGCCCTTCCACAAATGGGCCAGATTTCTGACAGTTATCTTTGTTTTTGCCCCAACTGCAAAAACACAGTGGCATTTTCGCCATCTTCCCACTTGGTCTCTGTTTTTTTTTCTTTTGCCATCTTTCTGCTTGATGTTTTTCTCCTGCCTTTCCCCGTTGCTTCTCCCTTTCTCTTGCCTCACTGTTAGTAAGCGTACAGCAGGATTCACTAATAAGAGGCTTGAATCACAAGCAGGAACACCTGGGTAGAAGTCTGGGTTTAAGCCTGCTGTTAACTAGAGTCTCTCTGAGCCATAGCTACTTCATTTAGGAGAGATAGACTAGAACAATTTTATTCTTTTAGCAGAATAATTTCCTTCAAATTTACTTAGAATCCTGAGATGTGACAGATTAGATTGCCCCAAGGTTTGAAGTGGAGGGTAGATCTTGGGGTCCTGCTGACTCTCCCTGGAATAGTCTGTGGACCTCAGAGCTCTAGAGTACTCAGTTTAAAATCCCCTGGGTAAGTACAGTTCTAAGAGTGTAAAAAAGCATTTTTAAAACCTCAGATAGCCTAGTCCTTTTCCAACATATCCACATGAAAGGAATCAGGGGTAGTGGCGAAAGCACTAGATATGGAAATCAGAGGACCTGGCTCCAGGGCGTCTTACCTCTGTCATCTCGGGCAAATTATTTAACCCGAATCCTAGTTTCCTTAAGCATCAATTAGAAGTGGTAATGTGTACAGTGGTGACACATCATGTGCACATTTAACATACAGGAATTCAAGGATACAATTAGCACAAAGAGAATTTAGTTATAGTGCTGGACCTGCTATTTGTCGTCAGCTCCACTCCTCACCTTTCACCTGCTGTGTGTCTTGGGCAAGGAAGCTGACCCCTGCAGGCTGCATCAGACAGATGCCTTTCTGCTGGCTTCCAGCTGTGATCCGCCTACAGAAGGCACCAGTGAGAGACTGGAGGGCAGGAAGAAGGTCTCGGGTATTTCCTCCTCATTCTTCTCTTCTTGGGTGGCTTCTCCAGTAGTGGCTGCATTTCCTTTCTGGCTCCACTTCTCGCTGAACAGGCCTACCTTGTTCCAGCTTAACTTCAGTGATCCCAGCCCCTAGTTCTGGTGTAATTTCCTTCAGCCAAGGGGCGGTAAAGGCTTTCAGAAATCAGGAATGGCTGGGTTGCTTCACTGTCTTTTATTTGGCTTCTCTATTAGTCCGTTCTCAGGCTGCTAATAAAGACATACCCAAGACTGGGTAATTTATAAAGGAAAAGGTTTAATGGACTCACAGTTCCACATGGCTGGGGAGCCCTCACTATAATGCAAAAGGCAAAAGAGAAGCAAAAGCACACCTTACATGGCACCAGGAAAAAGAGCTTGTGCAGGGGAACTCAGATCTCGTGACACTTATTCACGACCATGAGAACAGTAAGGGGAAAACTGCCCCCATGATTCAGTTGCCTCCACCTGGCCCTGCCCTTGTCACGTGGGGATTATCACAATTCAAGGCGGGATTTGGGTGAGGACATAGCCAAACCATATCAGCTTCTTAACCCTCTTCTGGACATTCCTATGCCCTGGGCAATTAATTCCCCGTAATGAAGCCCCTCTGTTTGAATACCTTAGAATGGTTTCTCTTTTCCTAATTGGACCCTAACCAATGCAACTAAACTCTTGACAAAAAAGAGGGAAAGAATAAGAATCTAAACAGGCTGGGCAATTCCACTAGCCGTTCCTCTCAATGAGCCTGTGCCCTGGAGTGAGGGTGAGGTAGAAGGCATGGAACACAGTCTCAGGTCTTACTGTCCCTCATTGGGTTTCTGTTTGTTTGTTTGTTTTGAGATGGAGTCTCACTCTGTTGCCCAGGCTGGAGTAAAGTCGTTTGATCTTGGCTCACTGCAAACTCTGCCTCCCGGATTAAAGCCATTCTCTTGCCTCAGCCTTTCGAGTAGCTGGGATTACAGGCGTGTGCCACCATGCCCTCTAATTTTTGTAATTTTTTAGTAGAGTCAGGGATTTACCATATTGGCCAGGCTGTTGTCAAACTCCTGTCCTCAAGTCATCCACCTGCCTTGGCCTCTCAAAGTGCCGGGATTACAGGCATATGCCACCACCATGCCCGCTAATTTTTGTATTTTTTTAGTAGAGTCAGGAATTTACCATGTTGGCCAGGCTGTTCTCAAACTCCTGTCCTCAAGTGATCCCCCTGCCTTGACCTCTCAAAGTGCTGGGAGTACAGGTGTGAGATACTGCACCCAGCCCCCACATTGGGTTTTAAGTTGTGGAGGTTTTGGTATATTCTGGCCTCTAAGGCAAATGAACTTATTTACATGGACACAAAATTATGTATTCTATATTTCGTGGTCAGGAGATGTTAAGTGTATGTGATTTTACCTTCCTTGGTGACTATGGAACTCAACCCTTCAAGCAAGATGAAGCTCTGCTGAGAATCACAGGGCAATAGGAGGATCAGATAAAATAGTATGAGTAAAAGCACATTATAAACTGTAAAATTTCAGACAAATATAGGACATTATTATTACTTACATTCCAAACCCCCATCATCCAGGAACAATGCAATTTAAGTCTTTTTATAGGACTTGAGAAGTTACTTTGAAGGTTTTCTAGGGTTCTCCATTGTTTTCTGTTTTATTTTATTTTGCTTTTTTGGAGATGGGGTCTCACTCTGTCACCCAGGCTGGAGTGCAGTGTGGTATGATCATAGTTCATTGTAACCTTGAATTCATAGGTTCAAGTGATCCTCCCACCTCAGCCTCCCAAAGTACTGGGATTACCAGGAGACCCACTGTGCCTGCAGTGAGCCGAGATCACACCACTGCACTTCAGCCTGGGGACTCTGTCTCAATTAAAAAAAAAAAAAAAGGAAACGAAATCATGATCCCTAGGGGAGATAAGGAGAGTGCATTTAACCTAATGGTCTCATTTCTTAACTAGAAACACAGGAAGCAAAAAGTTATTTGAGCCCAGGAGTTGGAGCACAGCCTGGGCAACATTGTGAGACCCCTATCTCTTCTACAAAAAAGTTTAAAATCCAGCCTGACCAACACAGAGAAACCACATCTCTACTAAAAATACAAAATTAGCCGGGCATGGTGGCTCATGCCTGTAATCCCAGCTACTTGGGAGGCTGAGGCAGAAGAATCACTTGAACCCAGGAGGCGGAGGTTGTGGTGAGCCAAGATCAGTACATAGTCCATAGCACAACAGCCTGGGCAACAAGAGCAAAACTCCATGTAAAAAAAAAAATTAAAATCAGCTGGGTGGTGCATGCCTGTAGTCCCAGCTACTTAGAAGGCTGAGGTGGGAGGATTCTTTGAGGTCAGGAGTTCAAAGCTGCAGTGAGCAGTGATTGTGCCACTGCATTCTAGCCTGGGCAACAGAGTGACATCCTGTCTAAAAAAAAAAAAAAAGTTACATTCTTTTTTTTCCTCCTGTAAAATGCATAAGAATTTACAGAATTATAAAAAGAGTATCCTGTTCTTTGTCTTGGAGATGAAATTGGTATGGGATTTGGCTTTTCTTGCTAAGTGTTCAATGTTAAGTTAATGTTCCTTAGTATTTCCCTATGTTTCTTCTAAACTCAATGCTAAACTTAGAAAAGAAAAAGCTTACAATTTTGTTATTCTCTTCTCTGAGTTAGAGAAGAAAAAGCAGAAAGATGGTTTTTGATGATAAGATTTTCACATTGCTGCAGTAAACCACAAATTATACTGATGTGAACTAGGTCTCCACACATTTTTCTTCCCCAAATATGATCTTGTGGGGATCTATTTTGAATCGATGTCTTCTGTTAAGCCTTTGTTCAAATCTTCCTTCAAATTGCATCCTGACCCCTATCTTATAGGACCAAGGACTGAACATTCTTTATTATTCTAAAAGGTAAATAAGCTAAGGAAGCTAACGGGACACAAATGCAAGGTGACCTCGTCAGTTACTAATTTCCATTTTACAAAATTATAACAATGACAGTGATGACAAGTGCCCCAAGACTGCTATCTTGGGTTTCTTAAATTAGAGTTGAGAAACCGTTGCTAACCAAACCTCCCAAGAGTTATTCCCTGGTTGCTGCGTTTGATAAATTTGTCTCTCTGGTGACACATACCCGGCTGGACCAATAGAGTGATGAAATTCTCTCCTTCTTGCCTAATTTTTCTTTTGGACTCTACTCAGCAATATGTCTGAATTTCTGTGTAGGTGTCCAGCTTTTAGATTTTTCCAAGTGTTTCCAAAAATGTAATAAAATGGGCATGGTGGCTCAAGCCTGCAATCCCAGCACTTTGGGAGGCCAAGGAAGGAGGGTAGCTTGAGCCCAGGAGTTTGAGACCAGCCAATTAGAAATTAGAAAAAAAAAATTCTAATTTTTGTAGAGATGGCAAAACCCGATCTCTACAAAATTTAGAAAATTAGCTAGGTATAGGGGTGCACCTGTAGTCTCAGTTACTGCGAGGCTGAGGTGGGAGGATCACTTAAGCCCAGGAGGTTGAGGCTGCAGTAACTATGACTATGCCAATGCACTCCAGCCTGGGCGGAGTGAGACCCTATCTCAAAAAAATA